GGCACATGCCTGTAGTCCCAGCACTTGGGAGGCAGAGGCAGGCAGATCTCTGTGAGTTGAAGGCCAGCCTGGTCTACATAGTGAGTTCCAGGACAGCTGGGGCTACAGGGAGACCCTGCTTCCTCAAAAAGACAAAACAAACAAACAAACAAACAAACAAAAAAAGTCAAAACAGCTACCAAAACCATCACCAAACAAGAATTCTAAAGTTTTTGTATAGATTCAAGATACATTATTGAAAGGCATGGCATGTCTGCCTTCTTTTCCAAAAGTTTTTGGTGTAAGAGTTCTACCTTGCATGCCTATTTATCATTTTGTCAGCTTTTCTTCCTCTAGCTTAATACGGCTCCTCCCACTCCTTAGAGCTCCATGCCACCCCCTGCCACTTCCTGCTGTATATTCAGGAACAGCCTGTCCTGGCCAACTGGCCTCAAATTAGCTGTTTGGATGAGTTTAATGAAATTATTTGGTGCTTATGAGTATCACAAATGTAGAAATAATAGTTTTCAAATCCATAAACACATATACTATACTTTCAAAGAAAAAAAAAGGATATGATAGGTAATGTACTTGGTTTCTTACTGAATGTTCTATCCAAATTCCCAGAAACAGATGCTATTATCATGAACAATTCTGAAGATGTTTCTGAAAAAAACATTATGTTTGGAAGAGAATTAAAAAATGCCATATGAAGTCTATCTTGGTAATTTGTTTTCAAACACCTAACACTGCTAGGGAAGACTGGCTTCCTTTATCTTTTAATCACTCAGAGCTCCACATCAGGCTTGGCACTCTCCTCCCGTTTGCTACTTTTCTTCCTTCCCTGCCCCTCCCTCTTTGCCTGGTAAATCCTCCCCACTCAACCACTAAGGTCAGGAAAAGCGCCCCTCCTTGAGACCTTCCCAGAACTCCAGCCTCTGTGCACTCCTCGAGGTCTCCAGGCTTCTTTCAAACAGTTTTCGTTTTGACTTGTCACTCTTTATTCCAATAGCTTTTCATTTCACTGCAAGTACCAATCAGAGTGTGGGTTCTCTCGCCCTCATTATTCTGGTTTCCTGGTTGGAGTCTGATTATTTAATGTTGTTCCAAGTCCTCGAACGGCAGAGAAGTCAAAGCCTTCTGGCCCTCACAGCCCCCCCCAGGCTGGCTCCCTTTCAGACTCAGGGGTTCACAACCACATCACTGCAGGTGCTCTACCTGTTTTGCTTCCTGTGGCTTGCCTCTCCTTCTCCTACATATTTACTGATTTATCACTGCTGTCTTTACCGCAACCCGCACAATAATGAAAACTCCAAGGCAAAAGTATCGTTTGTTCACAGGGTGCTCTGAATAATTAGAACGGTCTCAATTCAGAACTACTCAGTTGTGATGGAAACGTCAGGCTCTCTTGTCTCCATCTGAGTTCCTTTAAGGCAACGGTCTAGTTTTATTTGTAAGTCCAAAACTTGTTGCTCTTAAGGAGAATTAGTTTTGTGAATTCTTTTCTGTTGGGTGGCAGTTCAATTCTAGAATTTCAGAAGGATGGAAATGAAGAAAAGACCACGTGGATGCGCTTTTCGATTGCTGAATCATTTCCCTGCTTCATCTTCACCACCAGATATCCCTCAGATTCTGTCACATAAAGGTCTGGATTGAGCCTGGGCATGCTTCAGACTCACTGGTGGTGGGGTTTAATTCCTCTGTTTAAGGTGCTTGAAAAAGCTCTAGTTCCCTCCCTCCCCTCCCTCCCTC